AATGAACGAATGCGTTAAACGCATCCGTTCACCGTCCGTTCCGTTCAACCGTTCGTTCAACCGTCCGGGGACTTAAGTCCTTGAGCCCTCCTGAGCTTGTATTTTCAATTATGTCTGCTGATTGGAAAATGAGGCGTGTAATCATGTCGTTCGAATAGATGCTTATTTGTTCCGCCGGAAAATGGATTCGGATGCCATCACCAGTGCCGTGCTGATTCAAGTAAAACGATGTTGAAAGAGATGTGATATGCCAATGGGTATTATGGGGTTGGTTTGTTGTCAGATTTATTCTGTATGTGACATTTGGATTGATGGTGATTGGATCTGAGAGAACGACATGGGCTTCATGGTCAGAATTGAGCTTTACTTCATGTGATGCCAATGAGGATCCACCTTCGATAACTTCTGCGCGGCAAGTAACAAAATTTGGACGGCATGTGACTGTTGTTGATATCTTTCCATCTGGGGCTTTAATACTGCTATACGTAACAGTTTGCGAAGCAGCGCCACGTACCAATTTTGCGATGAAGAACTCCTTAAGTACAAGCTCAGCACTAGACATGAAGGTGATTGAATGTGGCATAATGAGTTTTTGATATGAATCGTTTGCGCTGGTCTTCAATCGACGATCACAATCCACCAAATGCATTGATGGATCAAATTTGTTCACTAGATCGCACAACTTTGCCTTCTTTGACATTGCAGTCAAAACCAATGATTCCAGTTCGTCTTCGACGAAAAAGCGCTTGTACGTTTTGATGTGCTGTGAAAACTGTTCGGTGCTGAGTTTATCAAATGGAATTCGATTCAATGAATCCTTGAGTTGAGCTTTTAAATTGACCGTTGTAATGTCCAATTGTTGCCGTACACATTCAGCTTTTGCCCAAGCCATACATGACTCGACAATCACAGATGGGCTACATTTTGATGCCACTATTTCCAAAATTTTGTCCAACAGCTTTCGATCGCATTTCAAGAAACTGGTTGACTTCAACACTTCGAATGCATTTTCACCGATTTTCAGGCCACAAATGCGAATTGCACTCGGTACGTTCAGATTAAGAGCCTTACCATAGTTTAAGCAGGTGTCATTGAGATTTGTAATTAAATATGCTGCCAATGGAGACTCACAAACGCTTAAACCATCAGCCACTTCGTATTTCTTGCATAATTCCACCACTTCGATGATATTCAGCGATGTTAGCTGCACTTTGTTGAGGTAAAACAATTGTAGGAATTCTTTAAAAGCCTCGGTAGATACGCCATCAATCGGGATGTCGTTCGATGGTTTAGTGGAACCGTAGAACATAGCCTCAAATATTGGACTCGCAACTGAGAGTAAAAATTTATGACCGGGGATATTTGTCGATCGATCGCCACCGCAAACAAAGTTCAGATCAGACATTTTGGTTTTCAGATACAAATGCTCATATCCGAGTTGTTTCAGTTTATTTTCACGCGTAAACACTTGGACAGCCATTTAAATCGATCTATTGGTGACTTTTGAAGAGAAAAAGGGAAATATTTATTACAGAAAATGTTTAGTAGGACAGAAAGAGATTCTTTTTCCAAATGAATGGTCCAAATTTTGATTGAAAATCATTGAGAACACTTACATTTTAGCGAATCTTTTCTTCAGATGATGGATTAGAATGGTTTCAAGGGATAATTTAGATCAGATAGACGTAGTAAGGAAATTTTATGGTCTGAATTTGGTTACGCTTCAAAATGAATAACTAGTTCAATGTTAGCTATACAAATGACAATCGCTTCTGTGTATCTCCCCACCAAAATTTGACAGATGTTGTACATTGAATTCACCGTGTCACGCGTGCATATGGAATTGTTATGTCGAAATGATTCTTGAAATATGAAGTAAAAATCAACAATTAAATTTTTTCTATGATTTATTCAAAGACTCTGTGACAAAGGATGAAACTGTTTGACATATTTAAAATGTTCACTTAGAGCAATTGAAATCGTTGAATCAACTCCAGTGTATGAAATCTAAATGTTGTTTTTTTTTTAGATGTTGTCACTGTAATAGGCCAAGAAGAGGCTGGTCGAGTCGCTACCACAAAGTTTGTCCGCTCGCCAAAACTACCCAATTGGCTGTTGGAACACAAGCCGTGTCACCATGCCTTGGTCATTGATAAAACGAATGTTGATGTCATCCCTTAATTTGACGCATTGATTGAGTGGCCTTCTCTTGAAACCGATACTTCCCATCGGAGCATTGAGCCGGATACCATACTCAGTATTTGCATCAATTTTTACTGGCGTTGGAAGAATGAGATGAGTCTCTTTACCGGAAGATTGTACAAATTCATGTTCAGTCGAAATTGGCTGACTCCGTGAAAAAATGGTCACCTGACCGACCAAATCATTAGGTAATGATGATTTCGCTAAATACAACTCGGTTAGAAACAGGTCTTTGTTTGCAATGAAAAAGCTCGAGTATGGCATCGAAAGATGAATGTAAAAGTCCACGGAGCTATTGTCAACCTGTCGATCACAATCCAGTCTTCGTACTAGTGGCTCTGGGTATGTCAACGCACTCATATGTGCCTTCTTTGACATGATCTTCAAAACGATCGTTTCCAAATCTGTGTTTGTAAAAAACCCGGGATACATAACGATGTGCCGTGCGAATTGTTCGTGGGACAATTCATGGAATGGAATTCGATGGTATGAATGGTTGAGTTGTTCCCGAAGGTTTGCCGGAATTCCAGGCATTTTTTCCCGTATGCATTCGGCCTTGGCCCAAGCCATCAATGTACCAACAATATCCAATGCGCTGCATTTCGATGATACCAACTGTAGTATTTTGTCCAGTAGGATGTGGTCACAATCCAAGAAATCAGCCGATTTTAGAATTTTCGTTGCCTCTTGCTTGATTTTTCGTTCACAGAATTCGATGACGATTTTCATATTAAGTAGTAATGCCGCTGCATAACCCGTACACATGTTGTTGATTGTCAGTGACTGCATTATCGGAGCTTCGCACAGCTTTAATCCCTCGTTCACCGCATATTTCTTGCACAAATTGGCCACTTGAAAGATGTGTTCCGATGATAGTTGCACTTTGCTCAAGTAGAAAAATTGCAAAAACTCTTTAAACGCGCCGGGAGATGCATCTTCAATGGGAACGTCTCCTTTCTCGGGTAATGAACCATAGAACATGGTATGAAACACAGGACTGCCAACAGATAGGATAATCTTGTGTGATGAAATATTTTTTGCGCTCATGCTGAACACGAAATGCACATCAGCGGTCATTGGATCCAGATACAGCTTCTGGCAGTTTTCCGATGCCAATCCATTGTTTACCTCAAACACTATGCCGCTCATCGTTGTCTTGGCTGTGTTGGATTGCTGAAGAAAAAAAATGAATAAAGTCAGAACACATAGCGAATAGTGAATATTAA